AGTATTAGGTTTGAACAGCAGCAGTTAACGTTAGTTTCGCAAAGTAGGCTCTGTTTGAATTTTTGGCGGGAAGAGACGGTTTGTTCCCGGTCTAGACATGGGTCTAGATTTGGGTCGGCATGACAAGGGTGGGGACGAGTTGGTGCAGTGCGAGGGGTGTGGGAGGTGGTGTTACCTGGAGGAGACGGGTTTCGGGAGCCTGGAGGTGGCGGCGGAGGTGAGTTTCGAGTGTCGGCTTTGTGTGAAGCTTCAGCAGGTAACTGGGGAATGGGAGGGTAGAGTTCGGGAGATTGAGGCCCAGCTTAAGGCAGAAGGAGAGAAGCGGGTGGGTCTCGAGGCCCAGGTAGAGGAGCTGACTAGGCAGCTTAATCATGAGAGGGAGCAGCGGGTCGGCCTCGAGAAGCAGGCGGAAGAGCTGGGGGAATTATGGAAGGCGGGTTTAGAGGAGCGTAAGAGGGAGTGTGACAGTAGGGTAGAGCGCCTGGAAGGGGTAATTCGAGCGAGTGAGAGTAGCGAGGGAAGAAAGGAGGAAGTGTCAGTTCTAGCGGGACGAACCACCAGTCTGCAGGCTGGGGTCCCTGGTGGTCGGGAGTCCGGCCTGTTGGCAGGCGGGCTCGACGACGCTGGGGAGCTGATTGAACCTCAGCTCAATGGCGCCTTCGAGCAGCAGGCGTCGGGCAGTCAGGTGACAGGAGATAAGTCGCAGGACAAAGGCGCGCAGGCACCAGGGGGATCTAGGGTACTGGTAGTGGGGAGCTCTAACGTAGCACGGGTTAGGAGGGGTGTACATAACAGGGTGAAGGGAGACCAGAGGGTAACCGTAGAGGTCCAGCCAGGGAAGTGTATGGTGGATGCTATGACCGCAGCACGTGAGGGGGTGTGGGATAACCGGGAGGGAAGGAACCTAGTAATAGTTCATGCGGGGCTTAATGATGTGCTGAAGGGTAGGAGCCAGAACCTCGGAAAGCAGCTAAACGTGGGAATACGTAAGCTGAGGGACGTGTCTGAGAATGTGCATGTGGTTGTGTGCACCATTCCAGAAGTTCGGGGGCAGTCCGGGTTAACGGAGAGGAGGGTTGTCGAAGCCAACGGAGTAATTAAGGGTATGAGTCGACAGCTTCGGTACGACGTAATGGAAGTAAACAGAGAAGTGTACGAGGCTGGCTCCCGCCCTTTTGCAGATGGCATTCACTACAGTGAGGCCACGGGTTACAGGGTGGGGGATAGGATGGGCCGCACGGTGACTGCTTTTTTGGGGGGACCGAGGGCCCTGGGGGCACTGAAGTAACTGAAAACCCAACAAAGTCAGGAGAGACACCCAGGGTTAAAAAGAGGAGAAAACGTAAGAACAGGTATAAAAAATCAGCACAATCAGACATTGGATATATTAACATGCAGGGTGGTAGAAATAGGTTAAAATGGGAAGAGGTAGAGGAGCAACTAAGAAAGGAGGATTTAATGGTGTATGGGTTTGTGGAAACACATCTCAGAGACATGGAGCAGCCACCTTGCAACCCTGACTATGTGTGGGAAGAATGCAACAGAATGGAGGGAACGAGGAAGGGAGGTGGAATTGGAGCATTTATTAAGAAGAATATGAACTTTCAAAGGATCAGAAAGGAGTGCGCCGAACATTTGTGGCTGAAAGGAAAAGTCGCTGGGGAATCAACAGTCCTTGGAGTGGTTTACTTATGGACAGGGACAGGTGCTAAAGAGGAAAACAGAAAAATGATTGATTGCATATCAAGAGACATTAGTGAACTAGGGGAAGGCTCCGAAATAATTATTATGGGAGACATGAATGCCCATATTGAGGGTCTGGATGGGTATACGGACTCAACTGGAAGCATATTACTAGAACTGGTGGAAAAACATGACTTAGTTTTATGTAATACCAGTCAGAAGTGTGACGGGCACATAACTTGGGAAACTGGCAATCTGCATTCAACTATAGATTACGTACTCATGTCACACAAAATATATGGTAAGTTACAAGTAATGAAAATAGATGAAGAAGGTTCCAAAAGTCTTGGTAGTGATCACAAACGTATTAAGCTGAATTTTGCCAGAGAAGTAAATGCTGAAACTAAACAACATAATTCAAAGCAAACTTTCTGCAGCGACAAAGAGTTGGAAATAGTTGTTGAAAGAATAGAGGCAGCAGTTTCAGGGCAACGGCATACAGATTGGACCTATGAGAGCCTAACTAGGCTTTTTGCTCTAGAACTAGACAAAGTTAAGAGTAAACGAAAGGGGAAGCAAGGACATAGACCAAAAAGTTGGTGGGACAAAGAAGTGAAGCAAGCGATACAAAAACGTCAGGAAGCCTCTAGAGAACACAGGTATTCCAAGCGTAGTGGGGAGTCCGAAACGGAAGTAAAGAGAAAATGGGACAATTTTGTAACATGTCGCCGAGAGGCATCCAGTTTGATCAATGCGAAAATTCAGAGAAAGGGTGAGGAATGGATGAGTAATGTAAGTAAGAAAGATAGAAATGCTGCCAAGAAGTTTTGGGAGCACTTGAACTCACTCGGTGAAACAACGCAAGCTAGACAGAGGTTCATACTCTCGCATCAGGGAGATCAATTAGAGGGAGATGATGCGATACAATATATAGGAGCAGTGATGGAGGAGAAATTTCGGGAACGGGTACATGTGGAAGATAGGAGAACCGAAGGAAGTAGCAGTCCAGTTTGTGACATCGCGGATTTTGGACAAAGAGAATGGGAAAAGGCGGAACGAAGAGTCCCTAGTGGCACGTCGACAGGCACAGATGGTATCCCTATCAAGCTGGTGAAGAATTTGGGTCCTAAATCTAAGGCAAAACTAAGGGAGGTAGTGAGTACCATGATAACAAAAGGAAATATTCCAGATGAATGGAGGCTTAGTAGGATGAGTATGATATATAAGGGAAAGGGAGATAAGTCTGATATTAGGAATTATCGTCCTATAACCGTGACACCGGTTATTTACAGGTTGGTAATGCAGATTATAAAGAACAGACTGGAGGAATGGGTAGATTGCGAGGGCATACTGGGCGAGTTACAGAACGGGTTTCGAAAACAGAGAAGGTTGGAGGACAACTTATTTTCTCTAACACAGTGTATAGAAATAGCGCAAAAAGAAAACAGACAGCTCTGGCTGGCATTTCTGGATATCAAGGGTGCCTATGACAATGTGAACCAAAGAAACCTGTGGGACATAATGGAGAACTTAAACCTAGATGAAGGACTAACAGCACTATTAAGGAACATTTACAAAGATAACAAGGTGATTATAACATGGGAAGGAAAGGCGACAGGGAAAATAGAGATAAGACGAGGTCTTAGGCAGGGGTGCCCGTTATCGCCTTTGCTGTTTATGTTGTATCTGAGAGGATTGGAGGATAGACTAGAGAAGAGTGGGCTTGGGTTCGACCTTTCTTACAGTAAGCTAGGCCAAAAAATTCAGCAATCCTTACCGGGATTGATGTATGCGGATGATATTGTACTAATGGCTAACAACAGGACAGAGTTGCAGGAATTGATGAGCATCTGTGGTAGGGAAGGAGAGGAATTAGGTTTAGAATTCAGTAGCGAAAAATCGGCAGTCATGATTTTTAACGAGGATGAAGTTGAGAGGCTGAAGATACAGAATATTACAGTTGAGAGAGCTAGCAAATACAAGTATCTAGGAGTATGGATATGTGATGGTGCAGAATATCTCAGAGACCATGAAAAGTATATAATAGGTAAGGGCAACAGAAATGCAGCTGTAATGAAAAATAGAGCACTTTGGAATTACAACAGGTATGAGGTGGTGAGAGAGATTTGGAAAGGGGTCATGGTGCCTGGCTTGACTTTTGGAAACGCAGTGCTATGCATGAAATCCGAAGTGCATGCGAAACTAGAAATAAAACAGCGCGGAGTAGGTAGACTGGCTTTGGGGGCGCATTGCAAAACGCCAAACCAGGGAGTACAAGGAGACATGGGATGGGCATCATTTGAGAGCAGGGAAGCGGTGAGCAAGGTAGAATTTGAGGATAGGTTGAGGCTAATGGATGGGGAGCAATGGGCACGAAAGGTTTTCAGCTATTTATACATGAGGAGTGTAGACACAAAGTGGAGACAGCGCACTAGGAAATTAAGAGGAAAGTTTTTGGGCTATAGCGAAGATACGGAAGAGCAAGTCTCAGTTAAGAAGAAAGTTAAGGCCACAGAAAGAGATCGGTGGCTAGAGGGAATGCAGACAAAGACTGCTCTGGAAAGCTATAGATTAAACAAAAGAGTTATTGCCAAAGAAAGCATTTATGACAATTCTAGGGGAAGCTCATTGCTGTTTGAGGCAAGAACGGGTGTTCTGCGAACCAGAACATACAGAGTGAGGTACCAGGAAATTGATACAGTGTGCACTGCTTGTGGAGAGGAGGACGAGACGGCTGAGCACTTGATACTCTACTGTAAAGGGCTTCACCCTATGCCTACCGAAGACAACATAGATTTAATAAAGTCATTGGGTTTTAGAGACAGCGAAGGGAGAGTGGATTTCAAGACTGTAGAGATTACCAAGCAAAGATTAAGTGAATGGTGGCAGAAATCGAGAGAAAACTAGGTATTTTCTTATTCACTGATGGCAAGGGGGTTTCATAGCCTCACTTTCTTTGCTTTGCGGAGTGAATATAGATTTCACATTTAAATATTCTAAGCTTAAATGGTAAAACAAAATGGCTAGGTGGCGCAAGCTACCGCCCGATCCAAAGGGCTCAGCCGTATTCATCCATCCATCCATCCATCCATCCATCATTATCAAAGCGGGGATAGGAGAACGGCCGCCCCATAGGTATGGTGTACTAGAAGGGGAGGTGTGCCAAGCGCGCCGTCGCTGCGTTGGGAGAGGGGGACCTCCTGTAGGATTCTGCCGCTATGACGGCAAGCGGCGCTGCTACGCAAGTCGCGGTAAGCGGGGAGCTCCCGGCCGGTCGTGCACAGCGTAGCGTAGGGCAAGGCGTAGAGCACGTTAGGAGACCCTTCCGCTTGCGATGCAACGATGGAAGTCGCTGCGAAGAAGAAGACAGATCGCTGGTGTTTTGTGCCAGGATGCAACGTTGGCTATCAACACTCAAAAGAAAAGGCATCATTATTCCGGGCCCCCAAGGACGCCGTTAACTTCGAGAAGTGGGACCGCGCAATCCCGAGAGCCGACAAGAGGCTGCAACCAAATTCGGCAGTGTGTGAACGGCACTTCGATAAGAGGTGAGTGAACTGTAAATAATAACATCCGCGTGCGCGGTAGGGGGCGTATGTGCTTCTCTTTGTGCAGAAATATGGTGTGCTCACGTGAAATGGCTTGAGAAAACGGGATAGTAGGTCTCGGGCCCTCACTGAAGTGTCGTCTCCACAACACGTTACATGTCAAGATTGGTGTGCGTGTCGTCCCATATCTGTTCCTTGGTCTCGGGTTTCCACGATGTTAAACGTTCACCAGCTCGCCTGTATCTTTTCCGTCATTTACATTTGTGTTGTCCCCTTCTTTTCGCCCGCCGACTCCGGTACCTAATATCTGTTCTGTTCCGTCTGCTCTTTTTTCTTTTAGCCCGCCTTTCTTACTTATTTGAATGTTTTGTATATATAAACCCTTCAGCCATCGCCACCAAATTTGAAAATAAGACAGGCAAAAAATGTTTGAGTACAGCATCACGCAGTAGTTTTTCTTAGTTATTTTGGGGAATAAAATAGAGCTTATACTATACATTCAATTTCGGTGACTACTTGACTATTATTTTGCTGTGACAACTTTGAGAGGATTCACGCCAGTATAAGAAATTAAATGCAGTGTTTTGTCATCTATTTCTGATTTTTTCTTTGTGATAAAAAAAGCCTAATGAAACTCATACCCAATAGCTTTCTTTTGTAATACTACCTCGATTAGCAGAAGATATTGCACAGGCTTTTGCTCTGTGGCCCGTATATGCCTTCGAGATGCTCTGAATGTATTGTATCGGTGTTTACATTGCCGTTTTTTTTTTTTTTCTTTCTTGTAGGTTTATAATCTCTTCGTCTCGCCTTATCATCAATGGAGAGGAAGTGTGGCAGCCCCGCCTGGTACCTGCTTTGGCGTCTGATGCCGTGCCGACACAGTTTCCAAACGTACCGAAATACCTGAGCAAGACACTCCCCAAGGAAAGAAAGCGGAAGTCACGGGCACCACTGCAAGAGCCCAACCGAAAAGCAAGGACTCTTTGTCAGCCTTCTCAGCTTCAGTCCTCTCAGCAGTATCAACAACAAACTCAAGAAGCCTCATCAGTTTACGGCGACTGCGACTCACCCAGTGGGAGCCTTACTGCTAAAACCAGCACCTTCAGAAATCTGAGGCGCCCATCAGACTACTGGTCGGAGCAGCTGTTTTCAGAAGAGCCAAACACAGTCTCCTATCAAACAGTCTGTCTCAGCAACAACACGGTACCCCCACTTAAGTTTGAAAGGGCAGTGATCTTCGAAGCTCAGACGGCTGAAGGACCTTCTGTTTGCAAGGTCTTTCTTCGTGGTATTCCACATCTTGAGAGTAGTGTTGGAACCCCTTCGCAAGCGGAAGATATCCTGCGCTACGTTGACAATGTGCCGCTATGTGCTGGTGTTGGAGAACTGACTGAATTCGCCGTGGTCAAAATACAAGAAAAGTCCTGTCAGCGTGTCGAAAACAAGCTGTATTCCAACAAATGCAATGGATCTGTTCTAGGTGAGACATTCTTTCTTCTGAGTGGGAATAATTATTTATGTCATGTACGAACAATTTTACAGGTGTTTCTGGACATCCTTGCTTGTCCTGCAAATATCTTCGCAAGCTCCTGACGTCTCGCATGTGGAAAGCAAGGCGCGGCAAGGCCAAGACAAACCTGACTGCATACACTGCTGCAAAAAAGCTGCGACGTGCTCTTCGGACATTGAAGCGGAAAAAAAATCGAGTGCGTACTCTGCTGGACCAAATCAACCAAACAAGGGCACAAAATGCAAGCATCAGCCAAGAAACCTTTGAGCATACTGTGAGTAGCTTGAACAGATGAGAATTTTACAGTTCAGACGTAGGCACTTTGCATCTAATTTATTTTCTAAATATTCACTTCTTTCTACCTTATATCTACATTTCAGATTGCAAAGCTGCCACCAAAGCAACAGGAGTCCGTTAGGGCTTGCTTCGAAGCATCACAGCGAAAGTCGTTGCGTGGCTACCGATACAGCAGGGCATGGCTCCTTGAATGCATCATTCTTCGAATGAAAAGCAAGAGGCTATATGAACACCTGAGACGCCACCGAATTCTTGTGCTGCCAAGTCGAATGTGCTTGTTCAGGTACATCAAGGTATGTGTCATGAGATATGCTAAGCATCTATCAAATTTTTAGTGCCAGACTATCTAACCTCGTAACAACGTCAGAATTTCAGAGCCTCATATGGATTCAGTGACAGCCTATTTCGAGCTGTCAAAGCAAAGGCACTGCAAATGGACGAGATGTCCCGTCATGGCGGCCTCGTTCTTGATGAAATGAAGCTGGCAGCGCACCTGGACCTGACTGCGTCATCACACATTGAAGGTTTTGTGAACCTGGGTCAGCACACTCCCGAGGCTGACAAGCACACGAGAGCAGACCATGGGCTAGTACTCATGTTCCAGCCGTTTATGGGGAATTGGACGCAAATAATAGGTAAATAGTTAATTCCTCTTCTTTTTTTTTTTTTTTTTTTGCTTTTTTGACTACATCTATGTCTTACTTAGTGCCATAATTTGTTTTTTAGGCGTATTTGCTTCAAGTGGAAACGTGAAGGCTCACTTGCTCAGTAAGATTGTCACCGAGGCGATAATTCTATGCGAACAGGCAGGTCTGTTTGTTGACTACCTGTGCTGTGACGGAGCAGCTTGGAACCGGGCAATGTGGCATAGCTTCGGCGTGCACGCCGACGCTACATCAGTCTGCTGCAAAGCCTCGCACCCTGCTGATCCTAGTCGGTTCATCCACTTCATCTCCGACTTCCCTCACTTGATGAAATGTGTCCGCAACCTGATGTTGAAGGCTGGGTTTAACACACCAGAAGGAAGGGTAAGCACTACTATATGTTTCTCCCCTCATTTTGCACCTGTGAACTGAAAATGCATAGCAGATGTTTTAATGTGATGTTTTTATTTGCTTAGCAAAACCAGTATTTTTTTAATTTTGAAGGCTCACTGGGAACACATCTCGGCCACTTGGAAATGCGAAAGCAGTGATGTTACACCCAAGGCAGCACATCGACTCACACGGGCCCACATCTACCCCAATGGATTCGAAAAAATGAGGGTGGACCTCGCATTTCAGGTTTTCAGTCCTTCAATGCTACATGCATTTTTCATCCACAAAGGAAAAGTTGAGGAGCAGTACCCAAACTTGGAGCCCACCCGAGCCTTTGTTGAACTCATGGTGAACCTCATCCGTGTCATGACATCACGAACACCACTGAAGGCACTCAGGTAAAACTTGTATTGTTACATGCAGGGGGTTTGTTTTAACATAGTAGTGTGCACTTTAAGGCAGATTCTCAGTTTGTGCCTCACCAGGAATCTATCCAGCAACTTCTTGTTTCATAAACCAATCCTGTGACTACTAGCTATGGTGACTGTTTTTACGGCTGCTATATGCTGATAGGGTAACTATTGTGGGTTATCTTACATACCCTATGGCAGTCCTGTGATCAAGTCATATGACTTGGCATAAAGGTTAAAAATTAGACTGCACACCAATTTATTATAGCAAACTTTACTAAGTGAAAAGTAGGAATATGATTACGTTACATCAAGTGCTATAAGGGGTAACAATCGCCTCCCTCTTTACTTCCCACAGTAGGGTGGAAGGGAACAAGAGAAAGGGGGAGGAGGTCAAGTTTTTACTAGCACCTCATCGTTTTTCTTCTAGCCAGTATCATGGTGCTTACAAACGACATGTTATTGAACAACTAAAAACTGAGTGCAAGCGTAAAGAGAAAATTTTGAATCTACTTTGATACTCCACATAGAGCAGATTCGTGCAGAATGCGTCGCATAGCGTGTTTGTGCCTGCATCACAGATTACCACACAGCCAGATGGGGGCAGAACAACTGAATCAAGTCGACAGAAGCACACGATGCATTATCATTCGGCTCTATTAGTGTATCAGGGTCAGCTCGATGTTTTGTGGTACACACTGATGCAAGCTTTGCTTTCTTGGTACATATGCAGGCCAAACAGCGACGAGGAAGCTGTCATCAACCAGACACTGGACTTCCTTGATCGGTGGGACCGTCATGCCAAAGGCAGCGGCTTCCTAAGCAAGAGTATGGCAGAAGTCTTGAGGGTAACCTTGCGCAGCACAAAGGAGCTGCTGACATACCTCACAACGAAACTTGGCTACCGCTACATAATGACATCCAGACTCAGCCAAGATTGCATTGAACGGTTATTTGGGATTGCTCGGCAAGCATCCGGTCCGAACGACAACCCCACCCCGGCACAATTTTGTGCCATCATGAGGTGCCTGAGCTACTACAGCCTTGCTAAAAGCCCTGTGAGCGGCAGCATAGCACCTGGCGTGCTAGATGCACTTTTGACCCCCGAGACCGTGCCTCTTGACGAACCAGCGGCTTACAAGCAGCTCGACGAGCTGATTGACGTCGGCGACCTTGATGGGGCCCAGCATGTTCTGGACCACCTTCCCTACGTTGCTGAGCGCAGTGATGGTCGCCTCGTCTACTACATAGCCGGGTATGTGGCACGAAAACGGGTATTGGACACTGGCTGCAGGCTATGCAAGGCGGATTGCCTCACAGAGCGGAGCGACGTCGCACAACACCTGCCAGCAGATGCGACAATGGAGTGAGACCAGGGAGGTCTGCTGTACCCCTCCGAGAAGCTGTACCACCTGGTGATGACACTGGAAAACCACCTGACAAAGGCGTTCAGCACGTCCAAGCTTCACGCCAGCATAATGTACGAGATCGTTGGCTCGCTGAAAGGGCTCCCAAAAGTTGGCTGCGCTGACCACTGCGACTGCCTCACCCGATCAGTGGTGAAGTTCTACTGCATCACACGGATGCATTTCTTCTTGAAAGGCAAAAACAGGACCGAAAGAACTAGATCAAAAGAACAGAAATTGAAAAAGAAGAAAGTGTAGTTGGACACCTACACGTTAAGAGAGGTATATCTACCACGAAAAAAAAAATAAAATAAAAGCATTCCTCTTTTTTTAATTTTTTTTTTCTTCAAGACTAGTCTTGGCATCATAGCATCAATAAAGTTTCCGCTAAACTGAACTGAACCTGTATTACTTTTTTATGTTCTGTTGGGAGGGGCCCGGATATTGCGGTTATTAGAGAGAAAAAAAAATAATATTGGGGATTTATTAGGTTTTGGTTATGTACTGGTCAAGTTTTATATGTTGCATGTTTGAGAAAAAAAACCAAATGCCACTGCAGAAGTACCAGGAAGCGAGCAATCCAGTATGGTCCCGCTCGCGCGCTGAGGAACGGGATCAGCGCTCCCGGCTCATAAAACCAGTAAACACTACTTTATTATGTTACAGAGGCAAAAAACTGGAGTAGGGTATTTGTCAAAAGCAACCATGTTTCAAACAAGCAACGCGACGAACGCAAAAACATTTTTTAAACATAACCACACGGCTGCATTGCATACGTTCGAAGCGGCGTGCTGTATTCTATCTACCGCGCTTTGCCTAGCAGCGCCACGAAGCGACAGCGTCCGGCGGAGGCCCCCGGAACCGAGCGGGGCTTGGCACACCTCCCCTTCTAGTACACCATACCATAGGCTCTCCACTTTCGCGCGCGAGACGGCGTAGATTCTTGCGTTTATTTTGTCGCATACTATCGGTGGGAAAACAATTCTAGCGAAAAAAGATGCGGTACTGTTCGGTGCTTCAGTGAAGATCGAATCGTGTTGCCAGCGTGCGGCCTAAATTTATATAATCGCTTCTTTGCGAGCGTCGTCTGCTCTAGAGAGACGTTGGAAAGCATGGATCACCACGACGGATGCCTGTCTCCGGCTGAACTGGAGTATTTATATTAAATATTTGTTTCTTTTAAAATGGATGTATCGGTTCATCAACGTGGGAATTAAAAAAAAAAAAATAAATTCCAACCCAGATGACATAATACTGGTACTGTGGGCCGTGAGATTGCAGCTTCTATGCTTTTTTTTTTAACTTCAAGCTTTTGCAGTAATATAAATATTTAGAGTGAGGATAAGTTAAAGATGTATTGGAAATTACCATGCTATTGAGTTCCTATGTCCTTTTACTGTGCCATAGTGTGGGTAAGTTTTTTGAAGTCTGAGCAAATCTACAGCGTTGCGATGAGGAGAGAGTGTCTCTTCTAGTTAAGATCTACGAACTGCACGGTTGGCAAGACAACTGAAACAAGTGAAACAAACTGTTCTAATATATCTGCCGTGACTGTAACAAGCGAGTGTAACCGAGCAACGCAGCAATGTTCCTGTTATTAAATGCTTTTCTCGGTAGTGTGGATTCCCCCGCTTAAATTTTCTCGGTGAGGGCCGCGGTTGTCAAGAGGCTAATACTATAAATTTCTGGCTAAATAATCTTGTATTCAAACACAGTAGACTGCAATCCCAACAAACGACGGGCACCACGACACAGACAGCATCGGCCGCAGCGATACTCTTTTACTGATGAGGGCTAGCGACCATCACGAGACATTTCGATCACCCTCCGCCCTCACCTAACGTATATCGGGACTGGGCAGTTCATCGATTAACTTTCAGACTATTCAAGTAATGCTTTATTTGCGATTTTTTTCGCCGGTTCAACAAGGAGTGACGAAAAAGTAAAAAAAAGCCTGCTTTAATATTTTTGACGTTTTTATTTCTTTTGTGACACAGGCTTGCACGGTAAACCACTTCAGCGTGCTTGTCATTTCACCGAGAGTGATTATACTGTTTCAATATTAACTTTAAAAAAATATTTTTAAAAGGCTTTTCGCGTTCATATTTACGTAGGACTCACAACGTGAAGTTTAGAATGTGAATGCAATATGTCATTTATGACATAGTAAAACCAGTAAAAAATGTGTAGTTTTAACGTCTTTCACACAATATGACCGTCGAAAAATCAACATACGGATTTATTGATTGATTAGTATATTAAAGGAGATAGCGATCAGTCGGGTTAATTTTCTAATCAAACCACAGACCCACTCAACATTCAATGCTTTATGAAAGCCACGGTTTGTGCAAGATAACAAAAATACGTGGGACCAGCGATTGTATACAAACAAACACTAAGATTATGGAAGCTTCCGACTTAATTATAATCGCTTTACTGAATTTGTACGCATGGGAAACAATACAACACAACCTTTAGTAAGAAGAAACGGCAACAAAAACATAGAACATTTAATAAGGAATGTCAAGCTCAGCCTGACACGGGGCTTGCGTCGTCGAGATCCATGCTTGTGAGCGTGCGCCCGAAGCAGACGACGCACGGCGGTATCCCCGCTTTCGTGTGTTTCCAATTTCGGCCGCACGGTGGCGACACGGTTCGATCTCGACGCGGACAGCGCGGAGTAGGTAGACTGGCTTTGGGGGCACATTGCAAAACGCCAAACCAGGGAGTAGAAGGAGACATGGGATGGGCATCATTTGAGAGCAGGGAAGCGGTGAGCAAGGTAGAATTTGAGGATAGGTTGAGGCAAATGGACGGGGAGCAGTGGGCACGAAAGGTTTTCAGCTATTTATACATGAGGAGTGTAGACACAAAGTGGAGACAGCGCACTAGGAAATTAAGAGGAAAGTTTTTGGGCTATAGCGAAGATACGGAAGAGCAAGTCTCAGTTAAGAAGAAAGTTAAGGCCACAGAAAGAGATTGGTGGCTAGAGGGAATGCAGACAAAGACGGCTCTGGAAAGCTATAGATTAAACAAAAGAGTTATTGCCAAAGAAAGCATTTATGACAATTCTAGGGGAAGCTCATTGCTGTTTGAGGCAAGAACGGGTGTTCTGCGAACCAGAACATACAGGGTGAAGTACCAGGAAATTGATACAGTGTGCACTGCTTGTGGAGAGGAGGACGAGACGGCTGAGCACTTGATACTCTACTGTAAAGGGCTTCACCCTATGCCTACCGAAGACAACATAGATTTAATAAAGTCATTGGGTTTTAGAGACAGCGAAGGGAGAGTGGATTTCAAATCCATAGGTCGGCATTTCCGAGCCCACTCACTCACCATCACATCACTAATTACAGCAACATCCAAAAGTCACAGCCCTTCACATCACAAAGTACATCGACGTCCAAAAGTCACAGCCTTTCACATCACAGAGTACACCGACGTCTAAAAGTCACGGCCTTTCACATCACAAAGTACACCGACGTCCAAACGTCACAGCCCTTCACATCACAGAGTACACCGATGTCTAATATTCACGGCCCTTCACATCACAAAGTACAACGACGTCCGAAAGTCACGGCCATTCACATCACGGAGTTCAACCGGACAGCAAACTCATCCCCATCACGTCACCGCAATCTCTGAACTCACAAAGTCATACACCGTCACTTCACGAATCCGTCAAGTTCACGAAGTACTTCACCGTCACATCACGAATCCGACAGAGTTCATGAAGCATTCCCCATCCCATCACCGCCAACTCTGAATTCACGAAGTCGCTCACCGTCCCATCACGAGCTCATCGAGTTCAGCAAGTCGTTCCCCTCACGTCCGTGAACTGATCCCGTTCATGAAGTCGTTCGACCGGTTTGACTTCACGGCCCTTCACCGAGTCACAGCCGTTCACCGAGTCACAGCCATTCACCGAGTCACCGAGTCACCGAGGTCACGGAAAGCGGCGTCGGCCCCTGCAGCCGCGGCCACCGCCACTGCCTCCGGCTCTCAGCCATCCTCGAAGTTCTTTCGCAGCGGCGCTGACGACTCCAGATGTGTGTTTCAGTGTGTGTCTGTGTGTGTGTGTGTGTGGGGGGGGGGGGGGGGGGAGTATTGGGCTGGGCCGGGCGACGCACCCTGCTCTTGTCATTTTGTTTGTTTAGCTAGTTCCCTCTGGCTTTTAGTTTTGTTGTCCCGTTTCTTTTATTTTCGTTTTGTTTCGCGCTTTCTTCATCGTGTGCGCATGCTGTGGAGAGCGAGCGGCTTCTTGACTTCCCTGCTCCGAACTTGTGAGATAAGACCTTTTCACCCTCCGCCGCATGGGCGCTGCCATTTTGGAATCACGTAATGCGGCCGCCATTAGGTTGCTTCAACTTGTTGCTCCGCTCTCCCGTCCGCGCCTTGGCGGATGCGTTGAACTCGTGTTTTTCGTCGCGCTTCATCGCGTCTCTTGCCTTACTCCGTAAGGTGTTGTCTTATACTCATCCTTACCATGCAATTGCATTCCATCAATATGCGCGCAACTTTTGTAGTTGATTTTGTAACACGTTTTGAATATTTTTTACCGTCGGCGTGCGGGATACGTGTGAAAGGTTTTATAGGAACAGGAATCAGCGTTAGCACTTGCGCACATTGAATACATATATGACTTGAAGAGAGCCTCGAGGGTTCAAATACCAATAACTTGTGAGAACTGAGGTTTGGTTGCTAATAAGGGCGGAACATTTACAATAGGAAGCCCAATGTTTTTATATATATGAGTGCGCATTGGTGTCAAGGAAGAAAACAAAAACACTCAGCGTAATTAGCCACGTGTTTTTCCTGAAAACATGGTAGTTCCAACATATCGAAAACAGTTTCTTTTGATTACACTAGGGAACTAGTGGACAAGGCGCGGGAACAAACATTTAGTTTGAATTATTTTTTATGCTAGAAATAATGGTACCTTAACATTAGGCAACTTGTTTGTTCGCAATATCACACCTATATTTGTTTTACGTTCTTAATCGCATGTGTGATTCGCTTTGTCGGTTTATTTATGAATTCCACGGAATTGTGAATCGTGCTTGGTCCCATGTCCATAGTTTTTCAGTTGCTTAAGTCATTTTTAATATAATCATGCAGTTTCAATTAATTTATCTGAACACAAATATTTGAACTCCCCGCGTAAGAAACTGCCACCGACAGCTTGATAGTGCCTGTGATTAATAAAATGTGACGCCGAAAAGAATCCTTCTGCATGAAAATCACCCGAGTGCAGCCGGTTGTCGACGGCGAATAGGGAGTTACTTTCAGGAGATGGCGACGTCAAAATGTGCAAAGCGCATCGTTTCAAATCAGTGAACAGCTTTCTACACAGAGTGGCGCCTGGCGTTCGACATGAGCCACACTTATCGGAGGGAATTTCTTTTGCACTCTTCAATTTCATTCGGCAAATTTTGCGGAAGATGAATATCAGACTTTATTTTGAAGTCTGGCATTCACT